CTCGGCTCGGCGCGGCGCCGTCACGTGTGCGGCTCGCCAGCCGCGTCCCCTTCGCGCACTTTCTGCGCTCGGCGGCCTCGGCGCGACTCGGGCCCCTCCCCCGAGCGGGGATGGGGAAGTCAAGGCAGCGAGCGCCCGCTGGGGTGCGTCTCCATGCCCGCCGGCGGGCGCACCGCGTTGTCCGCTCTGCGGCAATCGAGAGTTGTGCTGGGGCTCGCTCGTCTTCCCCGGAGTTAGTTGCCTCCTCTCCCGGGTCGCGTCGAGGTCGTACTAAACCGTGGCGGGTCTCCTTTTCTGCCTGCAACAGCCCCGGGTCCCGTCCGGCCGCACGCCCACCTCCTCCGGCCCCCGCCGCATCCCCACCTCCAAGGGAGAGTCCCCGGAGCCGAAGAAAATTCGCTCTGAGCACGCAGAACACAGCAGCGGGCAAATCAGAGTGCAGATGAACCCGCCCCCATTGTGAAACTCACACGGTTTCTACTACTGTGGGCATCAGAACGTCTTGACGCGGCCGCAGCCAGAAACTCTCCTCGATCAAGCTAAACTGCCCAGGGCCCAAGCACAGTAACTATGCCCCCTGCATAGAGGCAGTAACAGCAAGGGTACATCTGGCAAGAGACTTGCCATCCCTGGACAAGTACACGGTTATACAATGGTTCCTTGCACACGTGAATACCTGTGCATAACCCAGGGCCCCCGCGCAGTGGCTTGCCTGTGACCCTGCAGGGTGACCCAGCACTGAACCACCCTACCCTCTCCTGCAAAATGGACGTATACACGAGTCCGTTCAGCCTGCAGTCAACACCTGCTGCAAATCTTCTACAAGCCTGTAAAGCTTGCCACTGGGGGCAGGAGGAACAGACACTCAAAGAGTGAGGGGGACCCACGTTAACCCTAAATTCAGCTTGAGGATCCAGACCCTCTCTGCACCACCAGATACTATTCCTACAGTGGGAACTGCTGAGGCACACCCAAGGTAAGTATGTTTTTGCAGGTTTGTAGGAGCCGTCGAGCCTATCCAGGTGGCCTATCCCGTATTTCATTTTATATTTCACTGTGCTCTGGACTCAGATCCTGGTTTTTGATAAGACTAAAGGCAGAAGAAGGAGCAGGGCTAAAGGTGAGACTGCTTCTGTGGTTGTACAAGTCCTTGGTTTCAAGGGAGGAGGGGGGTGATCAGTTCAGTTCCCCCAAAATGCTCCTCGTTTTCAACAAACCACAGTTGCTTGATTTTGCCCCATCTAGAGCCCTCTCTGGTTAGCTTAGCAGAGCCCCTTCCCCTGCCCAGCACTACCCTGCCAAAGGAACGACAGCCTTTCCTCACCTCCTTGAACCCTGTGTTCTGCCACCCCACCCCCACCCCATGCCAGACTTGTTGGGGAACTGGCCTCACGTTCTGCAGTCCCCTACCTCTTCCCAGCTCCAGTTTTCTGCCCAAGTCAGGCTCCCCAGGCCCCGCTTTCTGTCCACCTCAACATAATCATAGAACCACCCAGTCTCCCCACCAAGCAAATCACTTACCCTCTGGGAAAGCCACGGAACCACTACCAGCTGCCACTCTCCATCTAGACCAGCGTTGTCTTGTCACGACTACCTCACCAGGAGTGGACCACCCTGCCACCTCCGGAGACCAACAGCAAAGACGCTGCTACCCCCATTTAACCCCCAAGGGAAAATGAGAGGACCATGGCTAGAGTCACAATACCCTGCCGGTGATTCAATTATTGTTTCTGCCAACGTATATTTCGTGAGCACCGTCTCTGCAAGAGCAAGTGTCAGAGTCCCAGCAGAAAACAAAGGCACTTGTCCCCTAAGTGTGGATTTGAAGATAAAGAGATGCTTCCCCCCCACCCCCCAACCCCAGGCACAAACTGCTGGCTTGAGGTTCACATGGCAATTTGCAGGGCCAGCTACTTGCTGATTTTTATTTTGATATGCAACTTGGAAGTTGGAGGCCTGGCAAGAATGCCCAAACATGGTTAATTTACTCCTTGAAAGCCCTCCTCTGTAGTCATTATCTACATTTGAGGCCATTCTCAGGTGGTTAATCGGCAAAGCCTGAGACCGTGTGTGCCTCCTAACCACAGGGCACAGTGGAAAACACACTGAATTTTGAGTTAGGAGAACTACTTTCTAACTTTGAGGACTCCATCAAATAAGCTCACCAAGCTTCAATTTTCTTATCTACAAAAAATAAAGCCATCTTAATCCCTATCTATCACTCAGGACTGCTCAGAGTATCAGATAGAATCATAGAGATAGAATAAGTACAATTGTAAAGGCCCCAGTTAGAAGTATTACGGGCAGGTGCATTGGAGACATGCACACGGAGACATGTCCCAGCTTTGTAACCAAGTAAGTGGTCATGTGATTTTTGTCCTGGTCATCTCACCTCTCTGGGCATTGGTTTTTTCATATGTGAAATGAAAAGAGATCTTGCAGCCCTGATCGTTCCCAGCCCCCTTCAGGATGCCCACCTGAGCATGAGATGAGAGCAGCTCCAGATGAGGCTACCCAGGATAGGGGTCGGAGCTGAATTGTGCAATTAAGCAGATGTTCCTCCTAGCTTCGAACCCGGATCTGGGTTGTAAACAAGCCAGCACTTCCTCCATGCCTCCAAAATACCCTCAACATTGGGGTGGGAATGTAGACAGAGGCTGTACCCTCATCCCCCCCTGCCCCAACGTGTTTGGTCTTGCTCTTGATGCTGTGCAATATCATGAGGGAAATCAACATGCCTGGGAATTTAATACTGGACTCACACCTGAATAAAAAAGACTTGAGCTTTTCATCAGACTGTAAACTGCCCTCCTCTGTCCTCTGCCCATCCTAGGCCATCCTGAGCTTGGGCTGGAGATAAAGCTAGGCAAAAACCACCCAGAGGTCTTGGGGTCCCACGTTTTTATCCAGATGGAGTCACATTTAAAATAGTTAACGAGGCGGCACCTGGGTGGCTCAGTCGTTAGCGTCTGCCTTTGGCTCAGGTCATGATCCCTGGGTCCTGGGATCGAACCCCGCATCGGGCTCCCCACTCTGCGGGAGGCCTGCTTCTCCCTCTCCCACTCCCCCTGCTTGTGTTCCCTCTCTCGCTGTGTCTCTCTCTGTCAAATAAATAAATTAAAAAATCTTTAAAAAAAAAATAAAATAATTAACAAGGACAGCCATGAGGAGAAGGGAAAAAATCCCAGAAGCCTAACTGAACTTCTTTTTGTTCTCTTTCCCCCCTGATTAGCTTCCCAAATATCAGGATCTATCTGCTCACCCTCCCCACCCGCACCCCCCAGGCCTACCCAACTCCTATTCCTCCTCCAGGTTCCAAAGGCCTCCCTCTGCCCCCAGCCTAGGTTACAGGCCCTCACACTAAGGTTCTAAGTTCCCTGTGCTCTTTGATGCTTCCTCTCTGGTCATATCAGCTATTGAACTTCATTTTCCTCTCAAACCACAAGCAGCAGGAGGCTAACAACGGGCTTGTCTTGCTTATGTCTGTGTTCCCGGTGCCCAGCATAATCCTGGCACAGAGTCAATGCTCAGTGATACTCACAGAGTGCATGTGTATGAGTGGAGGGGAGGGATGACCCCCTTTTGCCTTGTGGTAAGGGTTTAGGGCAGTTAAGGCACCAAGGCAGCTGAACATTAGACCTTTTCTTACCACCATCTCTCCCCACTCACCACTTCTTTCTCCCAAAGTTGGCTTCTCTGAGTCACAACCAGACCTCAGAGCCACTGGAACAGAAAAGGGACCCCCCCAACACTTGGGAGCGGTGAACTTGCACATCACTTTAGCCAAATAACTATTATTCACCTCACCAGCCGGGGTAAGATAGAAATACCCTCCTGCCCCAAAGAAATAACACTTATTTCTGCTGTTGCCAAAAATTCCTTTAGTTAAGGCAAAGTCTGGAATAATTGATGGGGTTGAAAATCGGATGCATCGAGAACATAGAATAAGTAACTTAGATTCACACTCTAGAATAAATTAAATTCAAAGAGGAGGTTCTGGAAATAGGAGTAACTTACTTTTGCATAGCAGCATTTTACATTTATTTGCATAGCATTATAACAACCTTATCTATCAAATGTCATCTCTCAGCAACTGGTTGAAGTGGGCCAAAGTGGGCATTATTGACACCCCCATTTCACAGATTTTGAGAATGAAGTCTCAAAAAGGAAGGTTACATCACTGGCCCAAAGTCACGCAGTTTGTGAGAGCTAGATTCAAACCCAGGCTCTCTGACTTTTTCTGCTGTGTCTGATTTCCCTGAGGCCGACAGAAGAGCTGGTGTTTCAAGTCCCAGGTTGAGTAAGGCAGTGAGAACCAGCACAGACAGGGGAAGACAGAATTGCTCAGGTCCTCAGCCCTCCCTCTGCCAGGCCCTGCTTCAACCCTCCGGCAACCAACACCGTCCTCCCCAGGTGCCTAGCAGAGATGTGGCGCTCATTTGCCTTACTCCCCCACCTCAGGCCCGTGATTGGGCCACAGGGAGAGTTACGTTACAGAGTTCCCAAGTCAAATCCTCTTTGCTATACTTTTCTAGAAAAATGTAATGAGGGATTTTGTTTCGAATTTTCAAATGGGGGATTTTGCTTCAAAGCCCATGAAGTAGCATAGGTTTTAAGAGGCTGCCCTCAACTTCTGGTTCCCCTGATTACCTAAGGGTCTTGCCTTGATCTCTCTGCAACTCAACTTCTTGAACTTTTATGACAAGAAAGTATTTAGACCTTTCTCACAAAGCCTGTGTAGCAAAAATGTAGAAAAGTTTATTATCATTATGTAGATACAAGGACAGAATCTCTTGACCAGTCCGTTTGCTGAGGGTCACTGGGAAATTATCTCCTTCTCTATGAATCTAGAATCAGACTCCCCTTCCAGG